ATCTCTGAGAGAAGTCCGCCTTGTGACTTAGTCGGCAAAGGACCACAAGGAAATAAATCAACTTATTAGGTTGCTCATATATTTGACCAACTCAAAGTAAGAAGGTCAATAGACAACTTCCGTGCATAAAAAGTCAACTGTCAGACTAACTCGGTTGGAATTGTCTCATAATAATTTAATCTTATTATTATGTAATGGAAGTTTCATTTAATTAAGCGTGTAATTGTTTCTTACTATAAAAGTACTTATTTCATAGTTTGGGAAGAATAATTAAAAAATTTCTTACTATGATGTATAGTTTATTTTACCATGGTCCTATGGAATGTGACGATGTGAGTTTCTTCTTTTTCTTTTAAATATTTTTAATACCGCAAAGTTACAAGTGTAATTAAAGCAAAGCATATTTTACGACTTCGTAAGCGAATATGATCAATCAACAAAGCGAGCATATCGTATGAACTATATTTATATTTCACTTTAAAAAAAAAATTGTTAAATATTATTCCATCTTTTGACTAGGCCAGAATACTATCGACTGAATTGCTAGGCTATAGGACTAGAAGAGATTGTATTAATTCCATTTATATCTGATTAACAATGAGATTCTTGCCAAGCATCTTGTGCTTAAATGACACCTTTGTGATTTCTTTTGGGAAGGTCATAAGATTGAACCCCGGTAGTAGGATATTGACTAATAGTTTCATTCATGGCTAGGACTCTATGTAGAATTCATTCTCCATCTCCTTATATTATTAAGAATATTACCATTTAGCCCGCATAGGTAACTTTGGAAGAATGACCAGGGATCGAGTCTCACCAGCGGCAGCGTGGGAGCAACCTCTCAAAGTGAGGGGGGCTCCTTGTGCGCAGTGAGCACCGGTCTAGCCTCTGTGGTTCATGTTCAGTTGAATCACCATGATTTACATCCTCCCAAATGCTCTGTCGGGCCGGGGTGTGGGGTCTTTCTTTTGGAAGAAGAATATTACCATTTACTATACTATTCCTATCATGGCTAGGACTCTATGTAGTCTTATAATTAAATACATCTTGTCATTATGTACTTTACATCATCATGAATTGATCAATAATAAGATTATATACCCAAATCTATTGTTCTCATTTCACGCATTTAAAAGATTTGAAAGAGAGTTCATACTTATAACTTAGCATTTATCATCAGATGTTGTTGATGTAGATTTAACAAGGGTATCACATATATGTCATGCTAGGGAGTGACTTTAATAGAAAATTAAAAATCCCTTTCCCTTGGTTATTTTGTTTAGATTGTTAATGTATTTATGTAATTATTAGGTTGAAGTTAAATATAACTATATATTTAGGATTTACCTTTAAGAAGATTACTGTTGCAAAATACTAAAATAAGCACTTAAGGAAATAGGAAAATGTAGAAAGTATTACTTGGCATAAAAATTTGAAAAATATAATCCACAATAGAAAAATTCTAGTTCATGGAATTATGTCACTACCTTAAAATCATTTTACTTTACCATTGGTGCAATTGATGAACTTATGCAGATCAGTTCACACATGATCCATTCATTATTGTGTAGATCATCGTCCACACAAGCTGTGTGAACCATATTTTGTATACTGTAAAATAATGTACATTCAGTACAAAAATAATGTACATTTTTGTGTACTGAGTATACATTATATTACATAATGTACATTCAGTACAAAAATAATGTACATTTAATATATTAAAAATGTATATTTTGTTATGGTCCATACAGCATTGTGTGGACCATGGTCCACACAATAATTTGCCTAAAAGTTTCTCAAATTATGTTGTAAAAACGTGTTCACCATGCGCATGGTGAACACATGGATAGATCCATAATTTCTATGCTGTAGAAATTATGAATCTACAATATAGAAATTATGAATCTACAGTACGGTATAGAAATTATGAATCTACAGTATAGATCCATAATTTCTATGCTGTAGATCCATAATAATTATGAATCTATAGCTTAAAATTATGGATTTATTCAGTGTTCACCATGCGCATGGTGAACATGGTTCCACAGCATAACTATTGTAAAAGTTCATATTGGGCCTAATACAAGATCCAAGAATAAACTTTAAGGCAACAATACATCAATCATGCACCAGGGCGCACAATGCATTGTGCGCCCTGCCCTATACAAAATCACGTCGTTTTGGTGCATTGTCCAAAAAAAAAATTCTCTGTTTCGAATACACATAAACTCGTAACAAAATACACAGAAATTCATAATTGAATACACATAATCTAACATGATACATAATACACAGAAACTCTTAACTGAATACATAGAAACTCTTAATTAAATATACAGAAACTCTTAATTGAATACACAAAAACTCTTAATTGAATACACAGAAACTCATAAACACAATACACATAAACTTTAAACTGAATACACATAATGGAGTTTGGGCTGTTTGGACGGACAGAGTACGTCAACAATTGAAACGTGCGCGTTTTGTGCCTGGTCGCACATTGCTATGTGCATCGTGGTGCACGATATAAATTGCCACAATACATTGGGTTTATGCAACATTAGCAGAAGAGTCATGAAAGTCCAACAAGAAGTTCAATTCATGATAGTGAATACTACATAATGAAAATTACATAAGAAGCTAGTAGTATGACAATGAGGCGGGGCGAGGGTGGGGAGTATACTCTCGTCCCCGTTTCCGTCCTCATCCCCAATGAGAAATTGAAAATAGTCTCACTCTTCATTTTCGTCCTCGTTCTCTGAAAATTTTCTCTATTCCTGTCCCCATAAGATTGAGATCGGAGATCCTGTCGAGGATGGGGCAAATTGCCATCCCTAAACTAATGGTTCTAAAATTCTTAATTAACATCATCAAATCTATGAAAAAAAAATTCCTAACAAGTAACCAGACACATGACAAGCTGATTCGCTCATTTGACGCTACTTAGAGAGAGGGTGAGAGAGTCAAGTGCGAGAGTGAGATCTAGAACTAACAAGACATTTTTCACCCAAATTGATCTTTTTTTTCTTTAACTAGAAATATATTTTCTATTGATTTCATTTTTCTTAAATAGCCGAGCATTAAATTTTATTTTTTTAAAAGTTTTCCGGAAGTCATTTTTTTGGTTTCCAAATGAACCCTAAGTCTACAATAGGGGTATAACTCATGGACACATTTTTTTTGGTACTTTTCATATTAAATAAATATATATTTTTTGTGCATGATTGCTGTTAGTTGGAACGAACCAATACACGAATAATAAATAAATAAAAATAAAGTAAAATTTAAAATCTTACAAATAATGCCATGTTTGTTTGAAAGTAAAAGATGTGGAAGCTATTTTAGCGGGGGAGAAAATAATATTTCTTTTTCGGTAAAAACTAAATGAAGCAAAAATTCGCCCCCCTCGTCCGCTGTGGTGTCGCAGAGATGGATAGGGAAAGGGGATGCTACACCACACTTTTATAAATTTTCTATCATATCATATATTCACATAATGGCAACAAACAAACAAAAACAAACCAATCACTGTTATTTTTCTCTTTCAGCTGTAACTATATATATATATATATATATATATATATATATATATATATATATATATATGCCTCATCTCACCTAGCTCTATGCTAATGCTGCCAAATCCTTTTCTTCTTTCTAAACCCTAAACCTTCTTTAAATGCCTATTTCTACCTCTTCTTTTTATCTCACTTACATTTCTGATTTCACCCCAAATATAATAGTAAACCAACCTCCATAATCACTGAAAATACCAACAAATTTAACAACGGATTAAATAGCTGCAACTTAAATACTTACAAATTTCAATGTTTTTTCAATGGGCATCTGTTAGAAAATTTAGGCCCTGTTTGGTAATATAGTTAGCTTATCAGTCAACTTTGGCTTATTTAACCACTATTAGCTCTTTGACTTTGTTAAACAATCAATATGAGTATTTGATTAATTAGCTTTTTGTAACAACTTATTGTTCCAAAATGCTAAAATTCAATTAGTTTTTTGAGAAAAGTCATTTTGCATGTAATCATCTATCATCTAACAACTAATTTATCAAATATTTTTCTACAATCAACTAATGCTATCAACTAGTCAAATCCACTGATACAATCAGCTAACAACTATCAACTGACAGCTATTTACGAAACACCTCCTAAATGTCTACAAATTTCAGTAATTCGCCATCAGAATTTTTATTGATAAATTTGATTATACTTCTAGTTAATATAATAACCTTCAAAACTCGGTTTAATTAATTTGACTAATTCATCCCTTTGTTAGCATCCCATGAGGTACATTCGATAAAATTGCAACAACATATTGAAGATTATGTAAAAATGACTCATTAAAAAGTCTATGATTAAGTCGCCCGGTAGTGGTAACAAAACAAAAACTTTTGACCAACATTAAGTATGAAGAGGTGTGGAAACTATATTTTACATTTTGAAGATACATTCTCCTTTTTTCTTGTTGGAGGTAAACCAAACTTGTAACCAAGGACCACAATGAGGTAAAAATAGGCCAGGTTTATTCTTATTATATATTTTGAGTACTAGTGACTCTGTTACAATATAGTGTCTGTTCATAACTACTTTCTCAACCTACTGAAACAAAAATAGTTCATACTGCCCCACTGTCATCAAACGTTACCCATGACCTCTCATTTGGAAAAGTCACTTCATGCCACTAAACCACAAGGTCATTGACACGAAGATAGAGAGAGAATTTTACTGTGAAGAGTAAGTAGGGTTACTTTCTTTTTTTGGTCATTTAATTTCTACTATTACATAGCACTATTATTCATCTTTCATTCCGGTTCAGCTGGGGTGAAAGATGAGCTAAGCCCATCTCTTTCCCCCAACTCTCTGATAACTAAAAACACCACTTTGATTTTGGTTCCTAACATTACTACTTCCCCCACCCCACCCCCCACCCCCACCCTCCTTCTCTACCCCTCTCTCTATATATGCATATGAGTATGTCTTTCTTTACATATACACAAGATTACCTGTTGTGATACATAAGCTCACCTGGAGCAAGATAGAGAGAGAGAATAAAAGCCTTTATTTTTTTCCCCCCTTTAGTGAGCCTCTCTCTATATAAGAACCTCTAATTGCTTCTCCCTTGTTCCACTTCAATCAACTCCCTCTCCTTTCATTTCTTGTTTGTTTATCAATTATCAACCAAAAATGTCAACCGATGTTGCCTCCGAGCAACTCTGCTACATCCCTTGCAATTTCTGCAATATCGTTCTTGCGGTATTATCTCATCTCTATATCCTTTTCTTTATCATGTGTGAGTGGGAAGAGAGAGAGACATTAATGGGGTGAAAAAAGCTGGTTTTGGGGGGTGAAGAGATGAGAGAAGTGAAATCAAATCCAATTGTGTTATTGGGTTTATTAGTTTCTTGAAATCTGATGGGTTTTCTCTTTGAATTTTTACTTTGGGTAGTCATGTCTCCATCCGGCATAGACCTTTCTTTTTCTTCCCTTCTTTTGCAGTCATAAAAAAAGTCATATCCTGAAACCCTGAAGTTTCCAGTCCAGAGAGAGAGAGAGAGAGAGATTATTAGTGTTTTTTTTTTTTAATTATTTTTATTTGTATAGTCAAAACAATTTTAATAAATTTTTTTTGCAAATAATAATAATTAATAGTGATGAAGACAACTCCTGCAGGTTTTAACCCCTTGATTTCCTCTCACTGTGCTATACCTTTCCTTTGCTTAAAAAACTGAGCTGGTCCCTTCCAAATTCCTGTGTTTTTCTGGTTCTCCAGTTTTTAGGGTTTTTTTTTTCATATTTTTTTCCTTCAAGATTTTATCATAACCCTATTTCTCGAAATTTTGATGGGGGTTAAGATTAGCTAAAGAGATCTTAAGATTCTGGTTTACATATTTATGAATCCGGATTTGGGTAGTCAAATTTGATTATTGTCTGTTTTAAGTTAATTTGGAGAATTTTTTTTTTGATTCGGAGTTTTTAATGATTGGAATTACCAGGTGAGTGTCCCATGCAGCAGCTTGTTCGACATCGTGACCGTCCGATGCGGGCACTGTTCAAATCTGTGGTCGGTCAACATGGCAGCGGCATTTCAGTCTCTCTCATCATCCTCTTCCTCTTCTCCCTCACACTGGCAAGATCACCATCTTCATCAGGTCAACCCCATCAATTTTATTTATTTATTTTTTTTTTGGGTTTTTCCAAAAACATAAAATAAAATAAAAATTCCTAGCTAGCTTAGCTCAATTATAGGCATCTGGGTTTCTAGGGTTTCAGGTATTTTTGCTTCTTTTTAGGGAATAAATACACACAAACTCAGTATTCCAGAACCCTAACAGCCGCCATAACCGAAACCTATGCTACCTAGTTGTGGTGTTTTCTAGTACAGAGGATTCGTTTGTTTATATATTTTTTAACGGAAAGTGTATGGGTTTTATCTTCTCCAGGGACTGTCATGACCCATTAAGGCAATTTCCAGTGGGTATTTTCATTTTTCAAGACTAATAATAATATTGTTATTATAATTGCTGGGTTGTGTTCAGACTTCTTCAGCCGCTTTTTGGATTGTGAATCTTTCGATCTGATTTGATTGATAAGAAAGAAAAATGTTTGTTTTTGAGGATTTCATCATTTCTTTTCATCAGTGTTTGTCCTCTACTGTGCAAACACTGCCTACCCATAAAACTTGCATATTTTTTGGCCTTCCTTTCTTTTTGTTTTCTGTTTTTATTTTTTATTTTTTATTATTAACTGATTCCAATCACTTCAATGTTGTTGCACCTTCTTTTCTCCCACAAAACATCACCTCACATCTTTTTGTCAATTCTCCCTCAATCTCTTTAGTTACATTATACCTATAACTTCAACCCAACCCATATCATTAACTATAATTACTATGCTAAAAATTAGAGCTAAAGAAGTCGCAGCTTTATTTTTTTATACCTGTCATATTTTTGATAGGCAAATGCTGAATTTAACTCTTTAGAGACATCCGTCAAACAATCTTTTATATTAACAATAACTACTATGCCAAAAATTAGAACTAGTAGCTAAGTCGCAGCTTTATTTCTTTATACCAGACATATTTTCGATAGGGAACTCTTTAGAGGCATGGACCGAACAATCTCTTGTATCAGTGATAACTACTATGCCAAAAATTAGAACTAGTAGCGAAGTCGCAGTTTTATTTCTTTATACCAGCAACTTTTTTCGATAAGCAGGCGCTGAACTTGCCTCTTTAGAGGCCGGTCTCCGTCCAACAATCTCCTAGTTACTTGATGATGTTGGACTTGACCTTTCAGTCTCTGCCAACAAGATTCTTGTTGATTCCTTAATTTTTTTTTCTTTTATTGTAACGTTATAAAATGTATTAAATTTTCATCAGGTACCAAGCTACACTTCTCCTGAGTATAGGATGGACTATGGCTCCTCTTCCAAATACAGTAACAGGATGGGAATGGCAATGCGACCACCTATCACTAATCGTACCGAGGAAAGGATTGTGAATCGTCGTAAGTTGTTTGTTTTTGTTTCTTCCAATGTTTTAATATACGGAGTATATATTTATTTATTTACTTTTTGCAATGTATTAATTAATTTTAAATTATTTGTTATGCTTAACTGTTCAGCTCCCGAGAAGAGGCAGCGAGTGCCTTCTGCATACAACCAATTCATAAAGTAATGGAACTGCATCACTGATAACTTGATAAATGTGTTTTTTTTTTTTCTTTATGATATATGATTCAAATATTAATATTTTAATTTAAAAAAAAAAATGTTCAGGGAGGAGATTCAAAGGATCAAGGCCAATAACCCAGATATCAGTCACCGGGAAGCATTTAGTACAGCTGCCAAAAATGTGAGTGAAGATAAATGACGACAAATTAACCTTATATTATTTTATTTTATTTTATTTTATTTTTTCAAAAAAAAAATCATATTTTTTGAATGAAACTTTTGGGTATTGAAATGTGACCTTTATATTGTACAGTGGGCACACTTTCCTCACATTCACTTTGGTCTCATGCTGGAGTCCAACAATCAACCCAAGATTGGGGGTACTGAGGTATATATGTTACATTGCAACCAAATTAATAAATAAAATAGAAATATTTTTAAATACTATTACTAGTATTTAGATTTGAATTCTCTCTCCTATTAAATTCCTCATTTATTTTTGGATGCATTAAATGCAACCAAAATGCCTAAAACTTTAAGAGGATAATCACATTTCTCAATGCCCTTTGTTTGTTCATCAATGTTTGTTATTATTTAGATTATTATATTTAATTTAATACAATCATTTAATTAATTCATAATTAATTTGCAGGGCACTGGAAAGCATATGACTCACAGGGCTGCACTGCTAAACAAGTGATGAAGATGTTGAAGATGAAAGGGCCTTTGTGAGTTCTGTTGGTGGATTGAAGAAAACTATGACCATTAATATATATATATATATATATATATATATATATATATATATATATATATATATATATATATATATATATATATATATATATATATGCTTTAAGTAAGGACCTAATTAATTAAATATCTTATGTTTTACTATATTTCATTATTGGCTGCAATGCAAACCTGTTTAAGAGTTGCTACTCATCATCATGTTATATTGTGCAATCTATCAGTAAACTATATATGATTATCAGTTGAATTAATTGCTTGTTTCAGGCTGCTCCCTTTTCATTATTTCATAGTATATACATATTTATTATTATTGGTGATTTTTTGCTTTAATTAATTTTAGGGTACTTTACCATTCATGAGTGACTAGTATGTAGGGGATCGGATGGCATTAAAGTATATATAGTACAGTTTTGGTTCTTGAAATTCTTCTAATAAATCAAGATTTAATAATTTGTGTATGAGAGAATAATTTGTTGATATGCATGTGGATTGAAGAACTTTACACTTGCCCTTTTAATTATCCCAATGACGTTTTAGCAGTTGTTACCCCACGCGTGACTATTTAATGATCTAGAATGTTTTTTTTTTTAATTGATTATAAAGAAAGTTTTTGTTACTAGTATAATTTATCTCTGATCTTTTTTATGATTTGGGAGTTAATACACAAGCTAAGAGCGAAGTTTACACAGCGCATAATTATAAATTGTGACTATGGATTCACTCATCATCTAAAAAATACTTTTATTTTGAAATAGTTTAGTCTTTTTGGCCAAATTATTGAACACGAATAGAATGTTTGGGGGAAAGTCATACCAAACTCAAACCATTGTCATATATGACTAAGTTTCGACAATTGTTGTTATGGTGGAGCATGATTCTCATATATAGTTGAAGGTGTTGGGCAGAGGCTCGGATGGTCAAGTCTACTATATTGCCATCAGAACGTGTACGTGACACTGATTGCTATGCAAATATAATTAAATAAAATTGTGCATTTTCTATTAGCTATAATTTTTGGCGTAGTGATATAGGGGCTTAATTTCACAATTGACACCGGAGCAAATCATGGTGGTATGGGGTTTTACGGAGGAGGTTGGAGGACAAGTTCAACATCCTTAGTAACTATAACTTTAGAGTAGTGGTAAGTGTTTGATCTTGACAGAAGGTCACGAGTTTGATTCTTTTTTCAGCACCTCTTTAGTCGATCCCGTCGCGAAGAGTCTTCCTAATCCGGCTTGCTATTACACATAAGCGGGCCGGGATTTACACAGTGCACACCCTTGCGAGGAAAGCACACCCTAAAAGTATAATTTTCAAGAGTATACTACTACAGGATTCACATATAACGTCGGGCTTGTAAGTTATATTAATTAAATAAAAAAATATACGACGTCGGTTATAATGTGTACTATACAACGTCGCCTACATCAACGTCACTTTTTAACCGACATTAAAGGCCTTCTGTGTAGTAGTGGTAGATGTAAAAGAATAGTTTACAACATAGAAGTCATCAATGTCGTCCTTCTAGCTTGGAAGGGTCATATCAATTTATCATCACTTGGGTTTATATGATATTTTCAATCTTAAATCAGAAGTACTGTCAATCCATCTACTTCATTGTTGTATGCTCATTTTCATTGTTGGATACATATACATACATACCAGACTTGGAAGTATCTCCATATGCCCGGCCGGCCTTTCATTAACTTTTAGAACATGTATTCCTTAGTACAACCTTGGATGTACATATACCATGTCATTTTAACATCATATACAGCGAAAACATTTATTTCAGTAGAACATAGAACAAACCTAAAACCTAAAAAAGGTTTTCATTTCCCACATAATAGCAGTGTGGTTGCTTTCATACGAGGGAGGGATCGGACTACTTGACTCAAAAATTGAAATCTGTCCACCCATCTTTTTAATTATTATTAGGTGAAGGAAACCTTTCACAAATAATTTAGTTGCACACATATATCTCCAAGATATTTTTTCTTTATATACTTGATTTCCTATTCATAAAGATCTTACAGATTGATGGTTTGGATTTGTCCACAGGTTCTCAGGGAGTGGTTCTCATATGAATCGAATTATATATATATATATATATATATATATATATATATATATATATATATATATATATATATATTATAAGTGAGAACATCTCTTAACGCGTGAACATGTTGATTTCTTGAGTAATGCACGGTAGGTTCTGCATGAATGCACAATAACTACCCCAGTTCCGTAACTACTACGTGAATGCACCTGCATTCATGTAGTAGTTAAGGAGCTGGAGTAGTTATTGTGCATTCATGAAGAACTTACTATGCATTACTAAAGAAGTCCGCATGTACTGTTCTCACGTTATGAGATTATTACATGACACAAATTAAGAAATTTTTTTTTTTCGTTAGTAACATTATTACACGTACTCCCAATTTGCACTTGCGACAAACGCAACAAAACTTACATATGCATATAACACAATTTAGATCTTTATCGAAACTAAAATCTAAGCCCTCACCACTATGGTTCAAACCTATGATCACCTATTTAAAATGGTAACCGAGATACTATCATACTACAAGGTAGTCCGAAAACATCATATCATGTTTAAAATAATTAACAATTATCTTATTAACTTGTGTCATATAAAGTTTAAACTTGTCACATGCTTTTTAAAGGAAAAGGGGTAAAATAGGCTTCAACCCGGCATGAAACAAAGTTGTAGTAAAATTTTGAAACATCATATGTATTGACCATCACATCTTGTAACAGTGGTATAGTGTATTATATATGTGCTTTGGTTTTGTGAGTTGATATTGATGGCAAAAGTTGTTTGCTTCTTTTTACTAGCTCAAAGGTAAACATATCCAATAAAAGACCTATATAGTTTCAACCCCACATCCAATAATAATCAACAATTACCTTGCTGTGATAAAGTAGTATTTTGAAGGACCACCATTTTGTCTTCTGGCATCCAATCTCTGTTTTCATACCACCCCCCACCCCCCACCAAAAGGGGTAAAGCACTACCAACAACACATGCTTTTGCAATTTGGTTCAGTGGCACTCTCTCCTTGATTTTTTTTTTTTTTTTAAATTTTTTTCCTCTATTATTCATTGGACTTCTAAAAAGAATAATGTGGTCCAATTGTTTAGTTTCACACTAGGAATAAAAAGGCAGGGTCTTATGAATATCATCACTTTTCATATGCACATTAAGCAGAAATTTCAAATCTTTATCCATATTAGGCTTGTGGGTGAAGAGTTGAAATTTGTTTGCAATGGATCTGGTTTGATTGCATAATGATATATGCAAATGACAAAAACATATGCATTGAAATTTCTTGACATGCATATAAAATCAATTGATAATTTGGGATTTTTTTTAACCTAAATTTAAGTAGTTGTTTTTGTTTTCTATGAAAAAAGTTTGAAGATTTAAAATAATTATAGGTGAATCTATTGTAGTTATGGAAACTAGGTTCATCAAGAATTCTAGAAGATAAGTGAAAAGAAATGAGAAATAAGTTTGCAAGATGTTCCATGATGTTGAAGAACGGATCTTAATTTAGACAAGTTAACAACCCCAGTTTGTGATATTTTGTAAAATACATATGCTTGTAACAAGTTGGATAAATCACAAAAAAATTCTAAATTTTTTTTACAACTATTATAAGTATAATTTTTTATATTTGAAATAAAGTGAATTGTATTTTTAGTTTTTTTATTAATTATTTTTTTATTTGTTTCATTCTTGGAAATATATTTTTCAATCAAACTTTTTGTCGATTCAACAAAGAGTTGTGTATTCGTTTGGCAAATATGAATAGTAGATAAACAAATATCGTTATATATTCTTTGAATGAAAATTTTTCTAAAATAATGAAATTTACATATTATGTTTTTTAGTTTTACTATTTGCCAAATCTTTTTTGACAACTCTAATCTACAACTTTTTTTGTAAGTACTAATATATAGTTCTAGAGTTACTTTTTTTTCTCTTCGATAATTCTTTCTATTTGATTTTTGATTGTACTTGTTCTATCAGTAATATCTTGCATTTTAGTTTCTAACTTTTGAGAGGATTAGAGCATCCACTATAGAGAAGAATGAAGAGTTATTTCACAACTTTTGAGGTGCAAATGCCATGTTGGAGGAGTGAGGTGAAGAGAGAGAGTGTTTTTGTTTTTTTTTTTTTTTTTGTTTTTTTTTTCTGCAAATGCTGAGTTACTTCTCTTCCAAAGGAAGAGAAATAAATGTGAAGACAGCAGTTGTTAGTGCACGTTTCGCGCACAGCAACTGCCACACCAGGCGCGTCCAAGGCCATTACTTTATTATTATTATTATTATTTTAAATCAGTTTTGGTTTTTTTTTTCCTCCCCTTCCCACATTCTCTTTCCTAATCACTCTTACATTCTCCCCCAACTGATGCGGATGCTCTTACCATCAACTAGGACATGAAAGTCAGTGCAAAGAAAGATATAGGGATCTCAGGACGTTAAAAATAGATAAGTTGCGCTCTTTAATGATTTGAAAGCATATGAATTCAAAAGGAAGACCAGAGATAAGGGAGAGAATTGAAAGAAGATAAAGACCACAATGAAACCCAGTTTGGGATACTCTAAACAAGCTAGATGTAGTACTACTATACAAACCTGTTGGTCCCGATAGAATGAGATGAGAGTCTAGAGGGGGGGGGGGTGAATAGACTCTTTTCTTTAGAAGCCCTAAACGTCACCTTTCGGTGTCTTGGCGCAGCGGATAAGATAAATTCGTTTTAAAATACTTTGCACGAGTTTACGTAATTAGACAAACTTTCGGTAATGATAATGAGGAAATGATATGAGAGCAAAATAAAAAGCGTAAGTAAGGAGATAAGGAGGACACGAGATTTTATAGTGGTTCGGCCAAAGTTGCCTACTCCACTCTTCTTCCACAACTGTTGGAAGGATTGCACTATCACTCTTAGTACAATTACACAAAGACTTCCTTGATCACTAAGCCGGACAGCCTTCGTAGGTTTTTCAACTCCTCGAGTTTACTCCGCCTCTATCAACTTCTTCTCCTGAGTTGAGGTTGGTAGAAAATGATTTCTTGAATTCTCCAACAATGAGATCTTGACTCTGAGATATGATAGCTTCAAACTGATGTCAAGACTTCCTTGAGGTGTAAGACAGGTGATTCTCCAAGTAACTTAACACCTCAAAAACTGGTTCACAAAAGCTTTTTGTAAATCGTAGACGTTTCA